CACACACACACATATATATATATATATATATATATATATATATATATATATATATATATTAGGGTGTCTCAGAAAAAACAGTTTAAAATTGTCAAATCTCACTTTTTTAAAATGGTCACCCGAACATCAACACAGTATATCACGATAGGGAAGATATCATAAAGTCTTTGAGGTAACTTTTAAAATTTAATCGATCTGAAAAAAATGTGATGTTTCTTTAAAAACATAAAAATTTCTAGGGAGTGAGACTTCAACATTTAAAAAATTTTTTTGGGACACCCTAATATATATATATATATCTTTTTAATTTATTAATTTCCGAGAAATTAAACATTTTATTGTTTTTTTTTTTAAATTTTTATTAAATAAATTTGCAAATAGCTATTTCAAGTTATAAATAACTCATCTTCAGTGCATTATATATAAGGTATATAAGATATTTGATATAAAGGAACAAGTAATTATTAATTTATATAAATTATTTAATTAAAACAGAAAACCAATAAAGTAAATTTAATAACTATAGACAATATAAAACGCGATTTTTAAAATTTTTTTTAAATTTTTAACGGCAAGATAGTTTATATTATGGTTGTTAAGGTAAATATCAACGCTCAGCCGAGAAGCGCGAATTAATTTATTTAATTAACTACATATTATTAATATTATTTTGACAATTATTTCTTAATAATTCTGAGTTTATGAAAAAACTTCTCGTGAACAATAATTACTCTTTGAAACAAATTGATCAAGTCATAAATAGATTAACCAAAAAATATCATGAAAATGCACAAAATATACATCAAAATAATGCAATTACCAACAACGTTCCAAACAACAATGAACAGGAAGATAATGGCAACCCCTCCACCACGTCTAATAACTTTGATAATAACAGCATCACAAGCCTCACCACAAACAGTAATAACAATAACAACAACAGCAACAACAACAGCCGTATTATTAGAAACCAAATCAACAACAAAATGAATGACAAAAATAAGATAATATTTTATTACAAAAATACCTTTTCAATGGCGTATAAAGAAGATGAAAGAATTTTAAAAGGAATAATACGCAGAAACGTAGTAGCGTCAAATCCAATTAATAAAGTTGTTCTTCGAATTTACTATCAAAATTTAAAAACATCTCAACTAATCATGA